GTAGACCAGGCTGGCCTCGATCTCACAGAGATCCACCTGCCTCTGCCTCCCCTCCCAAGTACTGGCACTAAAGGTGTACACCACCACACCTGGCTCATTGATTTTTCTTTTTTTAAAAATAATATGTTTATTGTTCTTTGAGAATTTCATACAGGGTTCATATTTGAATCCCTCCCCATCTCCTCTCAGATCTATACCCACTTCTCTACCCTCCCCACTTTCAGTCATTTTCATAAGCCCATTGAGTCCAGTTTGTGTTCCCCTAGTACTCTTGGGTGTGGGTCCATCTTCTGGAGTGTAGTGAAGCTACCCAGGGCCACACCCTTAAAGAAAGTGACTCTCCCTCTTCCAGCAACTATTAATTGCTAGGGGTGGTCTCACCATGTGGCCTAGAACTTGCTAAGTACTGACCAGGCTGGCCTTGAGCTTCATTGTTTTTTCACTATTGTTACCACCAATTCCTTTGATTTTTTTTTTTTTTTTCCAAACACAACATTGATGTGACTTTGGACAAGTCATGGAATTGCTCCGGGTCTCAGGTTCTTCTTTAAAATAAGAATAAGAATACTTGTCTGTAAGTTTGCTCTACAAAAAGCTAACATGCTGTCTGTAGGAGATCAAGCCACAGAAGAGGAGGAAGATGGCTGTTTCCATGACACTGCAGACTCACAGGGCAACAAAGACATAGGCCCAGATGAAAGTGAACTTGACTCCGAGGCCGAACTTATGAGAAGTATGGGGTTGCCAGTTCAATTTGGTAGAGTGTCTGCACATAAGAATTTTGAGGTATTAATCTACTCTTGTGTTTCTCTTTGTCTTAATAAAATATTATGTGGAATTAAATTTATCCATAATGAAGTTCATTCACGCTTAGAACGCTTTGCCCTTTTTAAATATATGTATTTACAAGCTAACTGGAACTGCAGGTGGTGATGTGGCCCTTGTGTGATTTTTCTTTTGGGAATTTAGTAAGATCTCTTGTTATGCGTTAAAAGGCCCAGGTTGGGAGTTTTGATATATTTTGTTTAGCATAATGATCAAATAGACTCGTACTTTATAGTTTGTGAAGAACATCTTCTATTCCAATTGTCATTTATCGAATGTAGGTGTCAATGAATACCAGAAATAAAGTAAAACAGAAAAAGAGAAAACACCAAAAGAAATACTTAGATGAAATTGTACAAGAATCTTGGGGAAAAGACTATGAAGAAGATGACCTTTTGGTTTCAGATGACCCATCCTCAGTTGAACAGGATGAGAACACCAGAACACATGAACCAGAAGGCAAAAACGATATTGAAACAGAAAATCTTCCTGTTGAAAATAAATTACCTACAAAGCTAGAGGTTTCAGAGAACTGGGAAAAGTACTGGAATGAATATGGAGAAGGGCTCTTATGGCAAAGCTGGCAAGAAAAACATCCCGATCAAACACTGTCCTCTGAACCTTGGAACCATCCGGATATGAAAGAAGAATGGGAACAGCATTATAGTCAGCTTTATTGGTATTATTTGGAACAGTTTCAGTATTGGGAGGCCCAGGGTTGGACCTTTTCTGCCACAGATAGTGATGCTGCAGATGCCTATGCATCTCAAACAGAGGTTGACAAGCAAGATGGAAGCTGCATGCAGGTGGAGCTCGTGTCGTTTTCATCTGCACCCAACACAGTTGAAGAAGAAAGCTCTGGTTCTAATGATAAAGATCATAATGAAATACTTACTGGAATTAGTAATATAATTCTGAGCTCAGAGGACGTAGAACAGAGCCAGTCAGACTCCTCTGTAAATCGTGACAAGCAGCTGAGTGAAATTAGCAATGGGAGAGAGTGCCCTGCTTCTGGTGGAAGTGAACCATGTAACGGAGCACCTCAGGAAAGTAACTTCTCTGGGAAGAGAAGCACAGACCAGCCGGCTCAAGGTAAGATTAACCAGATTTAATTCTGGCAAGTTGTGGTTAGCAAAACAAATCTACTTAGCAAAATAATTACGGTAAAGTACTTAAAAATCATCTACATTTCATAGTATAATCATTCAATTATTTAATCCATCTTATTTATCATAAGTGGTATATTAATTACCTTTTGTAATATTAAGATTAATAAAATTTGCATAGAGTCCTCCAAAGTATTTTTCTTGTTGTATCTTTGTGGCCAGTGAAGAAACTCGGAGAAACTTTACAATGAATTTGCAGTTTTCTGGAGCAAATGAATTAGAGTTGGGAAGAAGCATTTGACAGGCAAATACCATGAGTCATGTGAAATTCATCAAGGACGTATAGTCTTGCTCCATAGAGACTGTCAAGAGGACATAGTAATTTATAATTGCAGGGATTTCAGGATTGTCTTTGTATTTGTTACTTTTCATCTTCTGACCAGACACTTGATAAGAATCAACTTACAGAAGGGTTTGTTTGGGCTCATGATTTTAGGGTTCAGTTAATCGTGGCAGGGAAGGCACAGCCCTGGGAATGGATGGCAGCTGTGCTAGCTGGAGCTTGAGGCTGTTTACTCACATCTGGACTAACCTGGAAGCCAAATGGGACAGGAAAAGGATAGGCAATGTAGTCAGCCTCTGCCTCCCTCCCAGCAACCTACTTCTTACAGCTGGTCCCCACCCTCTAAAGGTTCCACAGCTTCCCGAAGCAGCACCACCAGCTCACCAGCTGAGGACCAAGTGTTCAAATTCATGACCCTATGGGGGACATTTTCCATCCAAACCATAACAGTCATCAATAAAGTATCCAACGTAAGGAACTTGGGTGACTTTTGTGTGATTTTTTTTTTTTTTTTTTTAATTTTTTTATTGTCAAAACTGGGGCCACGGGGGAGCAAAGTGTTTTTTACTTTTTTTTAAAAATTGTTTTTGCTTTTCTTATTTCTG